AATTGGAGGTCAGGACACAGATGCTGAGTTCCCATCACACCTTGGGTTCTGGTGGGAAGTTCATGTCCCTGTGAATTATAGGGACTGGAGACCAGATTTAGATGCTGAATTCCCGTCAGGCATTGGAAGGCCTGTGCCTCAGTAGGGTAAGGGAGGGAGGTAAGGTTTGAGTCTCCCCTACCCCTGCAGGTGATGTTCTGCACTCTCAACACCCACAAAGTGGACATGGACAAGCTCCTTGGTGGCCAGATTGGGCTGGAGGACTTCATCTTCGCTCACATCAAGGGGCAGCACAAGGAGGTGGAGGTGTACAAGTCAGAGGAGGCTCTGGGGCTCACCATCACGGACAATGGGGCCGGCTATGCCTTCATCAAGGTGCCTGGGGGTGCACAGGGCACAGAGAGTCCTGAGGGTAAGGCCAGCCATAATGCCAAAGGGCAGAGCCCTGGGAGCTGACAGTTCCTCTCCCCTCCAGCGCATTAAGGAGGGCAGCGTGATTGACCACATCCAGCTCATCAGCGTGGGTGACATGATTGAGGCCATCAATGGGCAGAGCCTGCTGGGATGTCGGCACTATGAAGTGGCCCGGCTACTTAAGGAGCTGCCCCGAGGCCGTACTTTCTCTCTGAAGCTAACAGAGCCCCGCAAGGCCTTTGGTGAGGAGCTGAGCAAGACCTCCCTTGATCTCCCTGCTCATTTGGGCTCAAGCTGCAATGTAGAGAGTTACCAGCAGGTGGTGCCCAAACCCATCCAGCTGAAGTGGAAGGGGGAGCAATTCTGCCCTGCCCTGGAGAAGGGGTGCTGGCTCTTTGCCCAGCCTGGGGGGAGGGTGGGACCAAGGAGGAAGTTGCCCCCACACCCTGTTTCCAGGAGCCATTAGGTCAACCAAGCACCCCCAATCCTGGCCAGCCAGCCCCTCAGCCCTGAGAAGCCAGGCTTGGCTGCCCTGTGCCAGGCTTCCCCCCCCCCCCCCCACTTTTCCGTTTGGCTTCACTAACTCTCAGGAATGGAACTACGGCCCCTATGGTGGGGGTGGGGGACTTTCAAACACTTCCCCAAGCAGATAGGGCTAGTAGGCAGCCCAGCAGTTGTACCCAGCTAGAGACCTAGGCCCTACACCCTCCTTTGTCCCCCAGTCCTTGGGGGTCGAAGTGGCTTTTTCAGGTTGTCCTTCAGACCTTTTCCATCGCCAGTCCCTGACTGCTTGGCAACTATGCCGAACCTCAGTGAGGAGTCCTACCTTCTTAGGGTCACCTCCAACACCCCCCAAGCCCACAGAAGAATGGAGAAAGTAGAAGGGACTGTCAAGGCCAGCAGGCCTGGGTTTCTGCCAAGAGCCTGCCGGACTGGGCTTCCTTATTCCTTTCTGCCTCCTGCAGACATGATCAGCATGCGTTCAGGGGGTGGCCGCCCTGGCTCTGGCCCCCAGCTGGGCACTGGCCGAGGGACCCTTCGGCTTCGATCCCGGGGCCCAGCCACAGTAGAGGATCTGGTGAGTGTTCCAGCCAGACCTCAACCCCCTTCCCTGCACAGCCATAAGAGGCAGCATCACCTTCCAGCGGAAGGGGTCTGAGCGGGTTGCCTGGATTCAGATCCACCTGTGTTGCCTCCCAGCTCTGAAACCTTTCTTGGGCCTGTCAGCCTTAGTTTCCTCATCTATGAAATGGGGATAATCATACTGACATGTTCAGCATTGTGAGCAATAACTAGGATATATACAGAAAAAGCACTCAGTGTTTAGTAAGTACAGTTACAATTATAATCATGTAATTATGATATTGCTGTTACCCTCCCCCACTCCAGCCCTCAGCCTTTGAGGAGAAGGCAATCGAGAAGGTAGATGACCTATTGGAGAGTTACATGGGCATCAGGGACACAGAGTTAGGTGAGTAAGGGGATCCTGGATCTGGGGGCAGTGGGGAGTCTAGGAGATGGGCTTCTAGGAGCTGTTGCCTCTGTCTTTGGTATCTCCATTCTGCTCCCCACCCACAGCGGCCACCATGGTGGAGCTGGGAAAGGACAAAAGGAACCCAGACGAGCTGGCTGAGGCCCTGGACGAGCGGCTTGGTGACTTCGCCTTCCCTGATGAATTCGTCTTTGACGTCTGGGGTGCCATTGGGGACGCCAAAGTTGGCCGCTACTAGGCTGCCCACTGGACCTTGGGATGACCTGGGCCCAGCCTAATGGGAATCCCCAGTTGGGAGGAGGGGACACCATGGCCAGGACCCTAGTATCTGGCTTGGGCCTTGCTCAGCACCTGGAGGATGATGCAGAGTGGAGCAGAGGTGGGGCTGGGCCCCCTGCCCCTCTCCAATCGGTACCACCCCTTCCCTGTTCCCAGCCCACCTGGGGGTCCCCATCCCCCCCACCTCACCCCACCCCCCTGTGGCCCTCTCCCGCCCCACCCCCACTGTCCTGTTCCCCACCTACCTCAGCAGGATCAGGAGGGGAGAGGGGCTGGCCAGAATGAGCCGCCAGCCCCACCCTCAACACTTTCCACATCAGCTGCCAAACTGGTCCCTCTCCCTGGGGCCTTGGGTTCTGTTGGGGGTGGGGGGGAGTGACCTCCCTCATTTCCTGATGCAGGGAATGTAGAAGGGGAGCATTCCCCCCTTGGCCAATGCAATAATATCCTCCCGCTCCCACCCCTAGAGAAATCCCCACACTGTGGAGTCTGTTACCTCTGCATTTTAAACACTAGTCTGCTGTGAACCCTCCCAATCCCATGTGGCCCCCTCAGCCCAGCCCTGAATGGACAGGGTGGGACCAGGAGGGTCGAAGGCAGTGGGCTTTTGTATCTGAATTTGCTGTCTTGAACATAAAGAATCTATCTGCTGTTTGACCTGTGTGGACTTCGGGATGGGGGGGGGGGGGTGGAGGTTGGGCCGGGGCTGGGAAAGAATGCAGCAGCTGAAATCCATCCTCCTCTGGGCTCCCAATTGAATTAGGAGCTGGCTGAGCGCCGCCCATCCCCGCCCATCCCCTCCCACCCGTTCTGCCTGATGAGGATCCTGGCTGCTTGCCATCAGACTTCCAGGCAAGGCTGGGGCTTCTTGGCCTACTAAGGGTTCAAATCTTGCTTCCTCCTAAACAAGGCCTCCCCCGCCCAAGCCTGATGTGAAAGGTGGGCAGCAGGCTGTTGGCTATGTCCCACCACAATCCAGCACAGAGCCAGGAGTGTGAGGACCTGGCTTGGAAAGAAGGTGGAAAGGCCCCAGTTAGAACCTTACGCCTGCCTAGGCAAGTGCTCTGGGGAGGACCCCCACCCCACAAGACTGTGGGAGGGGGCAGTCTTGGTGAGACCCCTACCCCAGCTGATTGTGGACCTGAGGGGTCTGCTGGTGTCCATAGCACACCAGGCTTTGCCTTGGACATAAACCCAGCATGCTTGTTTTGACAGCTCGCTTCATCCTCAAGGATTGAGGGGGATCAAGGAAGAGAGTGTGGGACCCTGGCCAGACCTGGAGGGAGGGGTTGGGATTGAAGCGAGGGGAGCCAGTCCAGAGGTCCCTGCAGGAATGTTTGGATGCAGGGAAGTCAGTCAAGCCGGCTCCTGGTTTACACCAGGCAGAAGATGGGCCCCAAGGTGAGGGGCCAGAGCAGCCTCTGTCAAAGTTACCCTGGCATCCCTGGCATCCGTGGGTGCTTCGTGTGTCTATGCTTGTAACTCAGCTGTGTGTCTCACTGTTGAGAGTAGAGCAGTGATCTGAGTGTTGGTTTGTGATTAAGGAATAGGGGCTTAACGACTGTGTTTCGGGGGTGCTGATAAGTGTGGAGTGTGGCCGTGTGATCACATTTGGTATGTCCAGGGTTGTAATCATTTGTGTCTCTGGGTGCTCCCATTTCTGGCATGGGGGTGACTGCTAGATCTTGGTATGTCCAGGGGTGCCACTCTGTATCTTGGGGGTTTGGTGTGTACCCGAGGAGCCTGTCCTAGAATGTCAGGGGTGACTCCAGGTAATATGGAGTGAAACTATTTCCCAGCACTAGTAGGTGGTGGTGGGGTGCATTTCTGGGTGTTGAGAGAAATGGCCGGTGTTAGAGATGATAACTGGTACATCTGGGGTGCTGGGGTGAGACTGTTTTGTGAGTTGAGTGATGTGATGATGTCTGATTCCAAGCCCTCTAAGGAGTGTGGTTTCCACTGCCCTGGACACTGGCTGTGATAATGGCTAGTCTCAGAGTGTTAAGGGTATCTTAACAAGATAAGAGTTGGTATCTTTAGTGTGAGCCTGTGTGTGCGTGCCCCTCAGGGGTGTCACTCTACTTCTAAAGGCCAGAGGTGACACTGCAGTTGTTCGCCCAGGTTTAAGGGATGACTCTCAGATACTGCTCATTACATCTCACACAGAATCTAGGAGAGTTCCCTGATTGCCAGGCCTCCTTGCCCCGCCCCTCCTCAGATATGACTCTCTGCCTCTGGCCTGGGCTTTAAGCCCCTGTGTAAATAGTGGGCAAGTCTCCGAGCCATGCTGGGCCTGACCCAAGCTGGTCCATCCAAACTACTGCCCATCATTATCCACCAGATCCACAAAGGCTCTGACAGGGCATGTGGGGGTATTTTTGCCCCTCAGTAGGGCAACCCCTCAACTTCACAGCCTCCGTGGGAGCAGCATCAACCATGCAGCCACCCCAGCCAGCCCTGGGTGACACTCATATTTTCCAGTGTTTAGATTTTATCCGCTTTATTAATGAGGCAGGCGATAGGTCCAAGCCTGAGGGGAGGTGGGGAGGGGCTGCTCTTGCCCAACTGGGGGAAGGGGATCATGGGGGAAGGGGATCTTGGAGCCTCCCTCTTTGTGGGAGGAGCTGGGGACTGAATGGCCCCTGCCTCTTGCCAGGAGCACGGGGTGGAGGTGGGGTGTCTCTGCTCCCCAGCCCCCTCAGTGGTTGAGCACTGAGTGGAGCAGCCCCTGGTGGCCAGAGCTTACAGCTGAACGGATGAGTTCAGAGGCTGGAGCTGGAGCCGCCCCTGGAGGGAGGGAGGATGAGAGGAAGGAGTGGCTTTTGGAGAGCTAGGGTGTAGCAGCGGGCCGGCGCAGCTGGTAGCAGGAGCCAAGCAGCAGACGATGGGGACCCAGTGTCCCAGGCAAAGCTGGGTAAGAAGGCTGGGGGTGAGGGTGTCTGGTGGGGGAGGAAGGAGGGCATGGAAGGATAGAGCCATGGCTACCTCAGACCGTCCCGTGTTCCTTGACTCTCAACCATTTCTGTCTCACTGTTCATCCTCCCAGTCTGACCCAGTGGGTGGCTCTGCCCTCTCAGCCAGCACCACCAGGGTATCAAAAAATGGGTGGTCCTGAGTCAACCTTGAGGTTTCTGAGCCAGAGCTGTGGAGGCAGAAGGAGTGGCGCTGTGAGGGTGTTCATGGTGAGGCACAGTAGTGGTTGGGGGGTAGGGCCTGGGTGAAAGACAGCAATGAGCTGTAGAGGTCGTGGGGAACAGGGATAGGGAACAGAATTGGGAATGTGAAGACAGGTATGCCACTGTGGACAGAGATGTGGCTATGGGGAAGGAGAGAACATTTTGGAAAGAGATGTGCCTGTGAGGACAGAGACCTGGGACTGTGGGAGGCAGGATGTGATGGAGTAAAGGTGACACGGTGATGATCAGAGATCAGTCATAGGGGCTAGAGAGGACCAGGCATATGCTGTGGTATAAAAATGGGAAGTGGGTGTCAGTGGTGGGTCTGAGGCCCAGAGGGGGGGACTGGAGCCAGGGGAGCTATGATGGCGAGAGACAGGGGGAGTACAGTGGAGAGCAAAAGACTTGGGGAGAGGCAAGAGAGAATGAGGGAGTCAGGAATGGGACCGCCAGGATAACTGGAGTGCTTTGATCAGTGGGACCATAGAAGAAAGCCCTGGGGTCTGATGGGGCCTCATGATCTGATATGGGGGCTGCAGATTGGTGGTGCCAACTTCACCTTGCCCTCCTATCCTCTCCCCAGCCCCACCCCTGGCACCCGACATGAGCCCTTGCGGGGCCTTCAACTTGAGCCTGCTGAGCGAGGCCACCACATGTGCAGCACTTGGGGCTCCCAACGCCTCGGCCGGGCCGCCATCAGGCCTTGTGAGCAGGTCGCCAGCGCTGCCCATCTTCTCCATGACGCTGGGTGCTGTGTCCAACGTGCTGGCTCTGGCGCTGCTGTTTCAGGCCGCAGGTCGCCTGCGACGCCGTCGCTCTGCCGCCACCTTCCTGTTGTTCGTCGCCAGCCTCCTGGCTACCGACCTGGCGGGCCATGTGATCCCCGGCGCGCTGGTGCTGCGCTTGTACACGGCGGGGCGGTCCCCCACCGGCGGTGCCTGCCACTTCCTGGGCGGCTGCATGGTCTTCTTCGGCCTGTGCCCGCTGCTGCTGGGCTGCGGCATGGCGGTGGAGCGCTGCGTGGGCGTCACGCGGCCGCTGCTGCACGCAGCGCGAGTCTCGGCGGCCCGCGCGCGCCTGGCTCTGGCTGCGCTGGCCGCGCTGGCCTTGGCGGTGGCGCTGCTCCCTCTGGCCAGCGTCGGCCACTATGAGCTGCAGTACCCCGGCACGTGGTGCTTCATCGGCCTGGGTCCCGCGGGCGGCTGGCGCCAGGCGCTGCTCGCCAGCCTCTTTGCCGGCCTCGGTCTGACCGCCCTGCTCTCCGCACTCGTGTGCAACACCCTTAGCGGCCTGGCGCTGCTGCGAGCCCGCTGGCGCCGCCGCTCTATAAGGCACCCCCTGCCTTCCCGCACCGACAGCCGCCGTCCCTGGGGAGCCCGTGGACCCCGCTCGGCCTCATCTTCCTCAGCCTCGTCCGTGGTTTTGGCCTCTGCTGCCGCAGGCGGCTCACCGAGTCGTGGTTCATCGCGCAGAGCCCGCACTCACGACGTGGAGATGGTGGGCCAGCTCGTGGGCATCATGGTGGTGTCGTGCATCTGCTGGAGTCCGCTGCTGGTGAGGGGCATACAGGCCCCTCCTGCCAAGCTCCTTCCCCTCCTTCCCTGGCACTCCACCCCTTTTCCATCATAGGATACTGGATCCTCTCTCCCTTTCCAGCCACAGTCCAGTCCCCTCAATTCCCACCTGTTAGGAGAACTGCCCTTTGCCCTCTCTCGACATAACCCCGCCTCCTCCCTGCTCCCATATCTTACCACCTCCTGGGGCAGTTGTGTTCAAAGTCTCCTACCCCCGCCCCACACCTCTGGGCCCCAAAGCTTCCTTCCTGCCCCCTGCCCCCTTTGTTTGCTCCCCTTCAGCCTCCTCTGCTTCGGGATACCTGAGCGTTCTCTCTTTCCCGAGCCCTCACGCAGCACAGGCCTCTGCCCTGCATGCCCTCTGGCCTCCCCCCACCCCTTCTTTGGCATTCTCACCCTGTCTGCTTCCCTGCTCCCCTTCCCTGCCAGCCCGGCTCCCCTCCATCCCTGCCCCACCAATCGGCCAATCCCCTTCGTTGACACCTGCCACACCACTGACATTGGCTTCTCCCGCAGGTGTTGGTGATTCTCGCCATCGGGGGCTGGGGGTCCAGCTCCCTGCAGCGGCCACTGTTTCTGGCTGTGCGCCTAGCCTCTTGGAACCAGATCCTGGATCCCTGGGTGTACATCCTGCTGCGCCAGGCCGTGCTGCGCCAACTGCTTCGCCTCCTGCACCCGAGGGCCGCTGCAGGCAGCCCCGCAGGACTGCGCCTAAGCAGGAGCACCTGGGATGCCAGTTCACTGCGCAGCTCGCGGCAGTGGCCGTAGCGGCTTTTAGGCGCGCCTGGAGGTTCGATGGCTCAGCGTTCCGGCGCAGCGCGGAACCTTCGGGGGCGGGGGAACGGACTAAAACCATTTTGCCAAGGAGCCCAGCGGAGTTACGTCCCGGCGGAACTGCAGCACTCAAGAGGCCACGCGGAGGCGGCAGAGGCGCGGAGTTAGCCTCACCGGAGAGTGCAGTTTCGGGACTTGCCACGAGGAGGTGTGTGTGTGCAGGGCACACTAGAGGCTGCAAGCACCAGGTTGGCGAGGGTGGGGGGCTCAGATGGAAGCAGAGTTGTCGATGCCGCCAGGACAGTCTGCAACCATGCGCTCATTATGGTCCTGAGCTTCCCCAAACCACACCCCATCACAGGCCTTGAAGTCCAGACGTCCCTCAACACCGCCCATCACGGCCTGCCCACGCTCCACTTAATAACAGCCGGGAATCTCCATCCACTCCTTATCCTCTTCAAATAACCCCCAACCACAACCCAGGGGATCTCCCGGCCATTCCCTATACCCTAGACCACCCACTGACTCCAATTCCAAGCACAGCACCCTCCCCATTATTGCACAGAAAGAGAGCCAGAGGATGCAGGAATGGGGTAAATCCCAAAGGCCTTTTTAAAAACTACTAAGAGCTGGGTAGGGGCAGGTGAAGGGGAGAGACTAGCAACCCCCTGCCACGAAGTCGAAGTCCTGGAAGGCCGCTTGCTCGGTGGCGGTGAGGGGCCGCGCATCTCGCGGAGGGGTCAGCGTGGGGGCCTCCCCTGTGAACTCCTCATCGAAGTTGCTGACATCTGTGCGGCCTGACAGTGTGGGCACGAAGGGCGGCGGCAGGCGCCGGGCCAGCAAGGCATCCCAGCCCAGGGTCTGTGAAGGCAGAGTGTGCTCAACAGACTGACCAGAACCTTATCCCACTGCCCCCTGATCTCCTGAGTTTAATGAGTCACAACATGGGGGGTGGGGGGGGGGGAATCTGGGAGCAGGTTGTGGGATCAGGAAGGACTGGTTGTATGAGGAGACCTGGACTCATACCTGGGGCAGTGCTCCCTACCTTGAAGTGGTAGAAGGGAGGGGAAGGAATGGGGATGGGTACCATGGGGAGGTGACAATGTTGGTGGGGAATATGGGGTCCTTGGGGGCATGTCAGGCAGGGGGGTGGTGCTTACCCTGAAGAAAGGCTGTTTTTTCACATCCTCTGCATCCCTCTCGCTGGAACCCAACCTGCGTTCTGGATTCCTGCGCAGCAGCTGGGGGAGGTCCCATCATGTTAGTCTGCTCCATCCAGCCCAGGGGCCCTCCCTGGGCCCACCATACCTTATGGGGTCCTCACCCTGCGCATGATGCCAATGGCTTCAGCTGACAGGAAACGAGGGTAACGAACCTCGTCGTTGACAATGCTGTCAAATACCTCCTCTTCATCGTCCCCTGGGAATGGGGACTGTGGACAGGGAGAGCAGGGGTGAGTTAAGCCCTTCCTCTGGCCACTCCACACCCAGCCCTTCCAGAGCCCTCTACTCCAGCAGCCCACTCCCATGGGTGCTGGCTCACCTGGAAAGGTAAGTACACCACTTTACAGATGTGGAAACTGAGGCCAGGGAGATGAAGTCATCTGCCCATGAGGCACATCTGACCCCACTGCAGGGTAAATACAGGTCCCAATGCCATCCAAGGGATGGGCAGGGTGGGGAGGCCCAGTGTCTCACCTCGCCAACCAGCATCTCATAGAGCAGCACGCCCAGCCCCCACCAGTCCACTGCCCTTGTGTAGGACGTGTCTGTCAGCACCTCTGGTGCCAGGAACTCTGGGGTCCCGCAGAACGTGCTGGTCCGATCCCCATAGCCCATTCCTGGGGAAAGCAGGGCAGTAAGGATACGGAGGGCAGGGAGGGGTCCCAGCTCTAGTCCAGTCTGGCATAGGGTGGTCCTAATAAGCAGTCCTGTCCCAGGATGGGGATAACTCCAGTCCCTCCCCCACCCCTAATTCTCAGACGCAGCTCCTCAGATCCCAGCCCCTCCCCCAAGCCCAGGCCCAGCCCCTCACCCTCCTTGCAGAGGCCAAAGTCAGCAATCTTCACGTAACCCTCGGTGTCCAGGAGCAAATTGTCCAACTTCAGGTCCCTGAGAGAGGTTAAAGAGATGTAAAGAGGAATGAGTGGGATCTGGGTCCTGCCTGAAAGCTGAGGTCCCCCAGGTGGGCAGAGCATGCACGCATGAGCACCAGCACACCCACACACGCACCTGTAGACAATCTTGTGTTCATGGAGAAACTGCAGCCCCAGCACCACACAGGCAGAATAAAAGCTGGAGAGAAAGGCTGGTGTGAGGGTGCCAGGCCAACCAAGCCACATAAGCCTGGCTCCCCCATCCTCAAAAGCCCCTTCTCAGTGCTCTCCAAGCTCTAGGAGCTTGCGAGGCAGGGGCCTGCAGGTGAAGGGGTGGGGCAGAGCAAGGGTGAGGCTCACATAGCTCGGGGCTCAGAGAATACATCGCTGTGGATGTGAAGCATCAGGTCCCCTCCGGCAGAGTATTCCATCACGAAGCATACGTGCTCCGGCGTCTGGAAACAGCCAAATAGGTTCACCAGGAAGGGATGTCCTGCACTGGTCACTGCAGCCAAAATCCGCTTCTCACACATCAGGCTGGATAGGGTGGGAAGCAGGGCTCAGAGACCACAGTAGCTTCCCCCTCCTGCTACCCTCACATACCCCAAAGTTCTCATCAGATACTTATTGAGGACCTTGCATGGGTGTGCAACCTTCACAAGTTGCTTAATGTCTCTGAACCTCCTCTGCTGGGATCCATCCCTCATTCTAGTAACAGTTCCCCAACTTCCATGGGTTGGAGAACCTCACTTCTCTAGCTAGGAGTTGGTTCAGAAATGGGGAAATCAAGCCAATGCGGCTCAATCTCAGGATTTCTGGTAGAATGATTAAGGAAGAAGGGCTGTAGCTGGTGGGCGAGCCTTAAACTGCTAGGATGGGGATATCTCTGCCCCCAGGAGGAGGACTACAACAAAACCCATACAGAGAAAACCAGAACTGAGAGACAGCATGTGGGCACCTAGATATACCCATGCCTAAAGGCACAACACCCCAGGACTATTCTAATCTAGAGCAATAAATTCCTCTATTTGCTTAAGCCTGTCTGAGTTGGGTTCCTGGTTAATAAAAGGAATTCAGGAAGATTGAGGACAATCTCAGTGCCTCCATGGGGCATTTACAGGAGGCCAGGTACTGTGCAGAATGCTTAATGCATCCTCTCATTTAATCCACCTCTCCACCTCGTCTCGGGCCACAATGTCCCCTTTCTTCAAAGCCTTGATGGCAAACAGCTCTCCACTGGACCGGAATTCTGAGAGCAGCACCTGAAACCAGAGTGGGCAGTGGCAGCCTTAGCAGCCAGGCCAGGGTCTAGAAGTCTGGACTTGCAGCCCCCAAACACTGTGCCCCCCACCTCACCTTCCCAAAGTGACCCCGGCCCAGCACTGCCAGAAATTTGAAATCTTCGAGGGTCAGTGGTGACTTCCTCAGAGGGCTGTGGAGAGAGAACACTGCTGTGGACAAGGATGTTGAATGTGGGTAGTGGGTGGCGGGCAGGGCAGGGGTATCACCTGCACAGGGTGGGGCCTGGGATCTCCTGTGTCTCTGGAGACAGTTTTGGAGTGGTAGTTTCCTGGATGGGGGAACTCTGCAGCCAAGAGAGGAAGTCAGAGTGTGAGAAGTCAGATGCAACCATAACCACATTACCTTGTGACCTCACCCATCCCCCTACTTGCCTCCTCACTCACTCCTCCAGCCACAATGTCCCTCTCTAACTGTGCCTTGAACATACCTGGCACATTTCCATCTCAGGACCTTTATACCAGCTGTTCCCTCCACCTACAACACTTTCCTTTTCTCCAACATCTGCACAGCTCCTCCCTAACCCCCATTAGACCTTTATAATCATATGTAACTTATGCAGGGGGTCAGCTGACTATCATATTAAATAATTAACAGTACATCCCCGTCCTCCTCTCTGCTTTATTTTTCTCCCTCACACATGCTGTAGATATAGTTATGCAATGCATAACAATATTTCAAAAATATTTTTAAGGGAAAAAAATGACCTACTGGTTCATCATCCTCTACTATGAACAGTGCTAAAGATTCAATCTGTGCAGGGCCTCCCTGGGGCGCAGCGGTTGAGCGCTGGGCTGCAAAGCTGCCCGCGGCCTCTGCGGCGCCGGTTCGATCCCCGGCTGCTCCCCAGCCACGGAGGAGGGTCCCACATGGTGTGCAGACCTCTCCTGCCGCCCGCTGCTCCCCTCAGCAGTGTACTTCAGTCCCTCTGCCTGCTCTGCTCCCCGCTCTGGCTCTGGTGGATTCTCTCACCCTCCCGCGCTTCTGACTGTACCCAGTGCATGTATAAATAAACAAACAAATAAATAAATAAAAATACATGCCTCTAATTTAAAAAAGAAAAAAAAGATTCAATCTGTGCAAACAGGTATACAGTGGTATACAGTGGAAACAGTATATACAGGTATACAGTGGAAACAGTCCTCTCCTGCCCCAGAGCCAGCCAATGCTAATGATATCCTGGGTATCTTTCTAGATATAGTCTATACCCACACCAGCTAGTACAGACTCCACTTTTCTTGCACTCGTGACAGTATTCCAATCTCCCATTGGGCAATCTGTCTTAGAAATGATCCTGTGCCAGCACAGGGAGAGCAGCCTCATTTTTCACAGCTGCATACCATTCCATCTTCTCAAGTACAGTCACGCATGACTTAACCATAGAGACATGTTCTGAGAAAAGTGTCATTAAGACAATTTTGTACAAATGTCATAGAGATGTATGAGGATGCTGCCAGTGTAAAATACTAACTTTAAGGTCACTAGGCAATAGTAATTTGGGGACCACCTATATCTGGTCCATAATTGACAGAAATATTATGTGGCATGTGACTGAACTTACCGCATGCCCCTGACGCCAATTTTGCTCTTTGCTCACACAAAGCTTTGACAGTGAACATGCTCTGCATGTGTTGCTGTCATGTATGTGAATGTCTGGGAGGGGACATGCAGGGTCAAGGGCAATGTCTGTTTTGAAATCAAGCAGCTATGGCCAAGACACTATCCCAAAGAGGTGCAGCAATTCACACCTCCCACCAACTGCCTGACCCCCACACCCTCCCCAGCATTCAATGTTAATTCAACACTGTATTTTTTGGGCCTCCCTGGTGGCGCAAGGGCTTAAGCACTGTACTATGAAGCAATCTGCAGCCTCTGCAGCACAAGTTCGATCCCCAGCCAGCCAGGGAGCAACCCATATGGCGAGGCAGACCTCTCCTGTCTCACCCGCTGCTCCCCCCGGCAGTGTATTTCAGTCAGTCTGCCTGTTCTGTTCCCCACTCTGTCTCTGGTGAATCCTCTCACCCCCCGCATCTCTGGCCTGTACCCCAGCTCTTGTATGCATAAATAAATACTTTAAAGAAAACTATTTTTTTGCCAAGTTCATCTATTTAATGAGGTATCTTCTTCAATTAATGAACTACATCATTGTTATTTTCATTTCTTTTAAAAAGAAGGTATAAAATACACACAGGGTGAGCAAAAGGACCAACTCTTACATACATGTCCATCTCTCAGACCAGGGACTGGTCAGTTCCATTTTTTATACAGTCTGTGAGCTAAGGATGGCTTTTTTTTTTAAGATTTATTTTATTCATGCATAAAAGAACCGGGGTACAGGCCTGTAGGGTAAGGTAAAAGTATCAGGCTTTTTTGCCCTCCCGCCATTAGGATAGATGACAGAACCCTGCGGTCCCAAATGCATGTCTGATGGCGGGCACCTGGAGTAGGGTGTGGGCATGTGTAGATGTAATTCACTTGGGCTAAGACTGGGCTTTTAAGGGCAGCATCACGGGGACGCCAGCAGAAGAGAAGCAGGAGCAGCAGAAACAGAACCACGAGAGCAGCAGAGTTCACTGGAGTGCCCAGAAAGAGTAGAGACTTGCTGGGGGCCGGGAGGCCTCCCGGCCCGCCAGCACCCCTGCCTGCCTTGTGCCTGGTAAATCTAAATAAAAAGCCTGCAAAAGCCACCGAGGGCTCCAGGATTCTGACTCCTCCTTTACCCGGTCTGCTGGATCATAGAAAACTGCACTGTGTCTGTCCTGCCCCCTACAAGGCCAGATGTACGGAGGGGTGAGAGGATTCACCAGAGACAGAGTGGGGAACAGAACAAGCAGAGTGACTGAAACACACTGCTGAGGGGAGCAGCGGGTGAGACAGGAGAGGACTGCCACGCCAGGGCGATCTGCCTCGCAGGGGGATCTCTGCGGCCGGCCGGGATGGAATCGAACTGCAGAGGCTGCAGACAGATTCACAGAGCTGCGCTCAACCTCCTGCGTCACCAGGGGAGGCCTAAGGATGGCTTTTACATTTTTGAAAGATTTGGGGAGGGTATCAAAAGAATATTTCATGATCCTGATAATGCCAAGGTCGTGGGGGGAAAAAAAAGAGTATGTCATGATCCACGAAAATGACAGGACATTCAAACTTCAGAGCCAATCAGCAAAGTTTTACTGGAACTCAGCCATGCCCATTCATGTCTGTATCATCTGTGGCTGCTTTCCACAACAGCTGCGTTGAGTAATTGTAATCAGACCATTTGGCCCACAAAACAGGAAATATTGACTATGTGGCCCTTTATGGAAAAAGGCACTAACCTCTGACCTAGATCAAGATGCAGAGCATCCCCATTATCGTGCAGGATCCCTTGTGCCCCACTCCTATCCACAATACTCTCTCTGTCCCTGTGAAAATGCCCCTGGGAAAGATTTTACTGTCTATTATCCACATAGCTTTTAAATGTGTCCCTTTTACAGGGCAGTGTACTGAGCACGCAGAGGCGAAATTACTTGCCCTCAGCCACACAGCTAAGAGGGGAGAGAATCAGGATAGGAACCCAGGTAGCCTGACTCCTGAGCTCACATTCTTATCCAGTATGAAAAATTGGGCTCTGTTCTGCCAGACATGTGTGAGCCAGGGAAGTTGCTGGCAACCTCTGGGCCTGGAGCTGGGAAGGAAGACTGGAGCAGAATGCCCTGACACTACCCAGGCCAAGTCCAGGATCAGAGTGGGATACTCACTGGGCTCAATTCACTGGAAAGAGGATCCAGAGGGCTCTTCTGGGGCGAGCTATCCGAGTCAACCCCAAGGTTCAGCTTCTCCACAGATATGTCGCTGCAGCATAAGAGAGGTGGGCTTGTCTGGGACCCAGCACCCTGGGAAGTAACCAGGGACAGTTGAGAACCCAAGTCCCTCCCTCCTTACCCTGTGGACCGGGCCTCAGGTCCTGGAGAAGCCCCAGGACTGAAGGTGCCTGTGGCTGTGGTATTAGGGATGAGCCTCCGCAGCAGCCGCACCCAGGTGGCAACGTCAATGTTCATCTGTCTAGCGCGCTGAAAAGCCTTCCCTGGGGGGACAGGGACAGGTGTCACGCCCCATGACACTCCCAAGACCCCTGGGCTCTCCCCCTCCCCATTTTCCTCCTCACCTTGCTGTTTGGAGAAGATCTTTTGCCGTCTGAGCCGGGGTATCCTCTCAATGACAGGGTTACGGAAGGTGACCTAGGAAGAGGGGCCAACAGGTGAGGACCCTTACCCACACCAGGCAGCTGGGGGGCTGAGGCACATAGGTGTACACATATGTCTTGGGGGTTGCTAACACTGGCATCACTTCTAACCACAGAGTACTAGACAATTAGCAAGTGGTTTAGCAGGGCTACCTTTGAAGTGCCATCTTAGAAAAGCAAGATGCAGGTAACCAGGCCTCCTTAGGGGTGAGGAGGGGGTCTGACCTAAGTAGATGTACATGCAACTCCAGCCAACATGTCCTACATATATAGGGTCCTGATTCCCCAAGTGTTGCCCCACCCAGCAGTAGCAACATCACCTGGCAAGTTGCTAGAAATGCAGGCTCTTGGGCCCCCACCTGAACTCACTGAATCAGAAACATAAGGGTAGGGCCCAACTGCCTATATTTCTACAAGTCCTCCAGGTGATGCTGGTGCCCACCCATCTGGGGAAACCACTGGTTGAGTTGAATTCTTCCAACTCCAACACATCTTCTAGAAGGTGCTATGGTCACAGAACTGTGACTTTCATGCGTGTTCTATAGGGTTGTACTGGCCATGTGTGGCTGAATAAATTAAGTGAAATGAAAACTTCAGTTCCCCAGTCACACTTCAGGAAGCTGGCAGTGCTTATACTGGACAGTGTGGACAGAGAACACTTCTATCTATGAAAGAACTACACTATTGCAGGCTTCTTGACAACAGAACTTCAGAGAGTTCTATAGGCTAGCACTTGGGAAAGGCAGAAAAAGAAAACAGAATGCTCTAAGGAAACCCTGCAAGCTAGCAGGGCAGCTTTAGAAATGCCCCCAGATTGCCCACCACCACCCTCTGTGGGGTTTCGAAAAGTCCTCCAAACAGAAGAACCACCCACTGCCCTAACATCTGAAGTCACCCCTCTGTTGGCTCCTCTCCTCCAGTGGTCCTCAATTAGGAGATCATGTAAGAATTTCCACATGGGGATATGGATACAGGCAGAGGAACCAGGGTATACATATATCGTCAGGGAAAATTTAAAGCGTTTTTTAGGATAATTTTAGTTAAATTAAGGGGCCATGCCTTTCCTTCTCTGTGCCTCAGTTTCCTCTTCTGTCACATGTGATAACAGCTCCTCTTTTATTGGGTTATCCCAAGGATTCCTGAGTTAATCCCAGCAAAGCACTTAGAATGGAGGTTGGCTCATTTAACAAGGGGCCAGTTAGCAACGTTATGAAGACCCTGGACTCTCCACCAGGGGGCTCTAGCAATGCCTGGAGACATTTTGGATTGTCACAATTGGGGGAGAAGGTGCTACTGGCATTCTGAGAAAAACAGAGGTGCTGCTCAGCATCCCACAATGCACAGGATGGTGCCTGCAATGGAGAATAATCAACCCACAGGTGTCAACAGTGCTGCCGACAGACTATCCCAATCTGGACCCTAATCCTAATCCCACTACAGAAATCTACTCAGCTATGATCCTGGTAGCAATTTCCAGAACATGTCACTAGGTTTGGTGGTTTTTTTGTTTTTTTTTTTTTTTCAAATTTTGTGATATTTTAAAAAATAATCTTGCCTCAGAACAAAACCAATCCCAACCTAAGTCATGTCACTGATGTGTCTAATTGTACATACTCCCCGCCCCTTTCCCTATATGTACTTTTCTATCAAGTTTCAGAGACCAATAGAAAACATATTCTCCTAGAAAATTGAGAATAGGAGATGCAGGAAGCATTTTTTCAGGGTAGGGGTTGGGTTGTACCTCAGCTACCAGGCAGCCCTGGGGTTCCATGTCCAACTGCACCTCATGCCTCTCATTATCCAAGAAATCCTCCAACTTCAGGAATTTGAGGGCACACAGGCCCCTCTGGTCCCGCCAGAACACAGCTAACTCCAGTTCTCGTGCCTCAAGGGAAAAAAAGAGGACCATCACTTGGGGTGCCCCAGGTCTAATACCCCTCCCTCCTCTAAGCCCAGCTTTCCTCCCACCCAACTCACCCTCTCCAGCTCCAAAGTAAAGCTCTGGTCCCAGGCATTGGGGCCACATGGCTTCCAAGATGTCTGCCCCACCACTGAGTTATCGAGCTTGAGTACAGTGCTAACCTCACCTGGAAGAGGAACAGGGGTAGATGTGAGGTGTCAAGGAATGTTGGGAGGAATAGCTCTTATATCTTTTTTTTAAGATTTATTTATTTATGCATACAAGAACTGGGGTGTAGGCCAGAGGTGCAGGGGGTGAGAGGATTCACCAGAGACAGAGTGAGGAGCAGAAAAGGCAGATGTTGAAATACACTGCTGAGATCTACTGCGCCATGTGGGTCAGCTTCTTGGACAGGAACTCATCGCAGTGAGCTGGCGACAGCTCAACAGCACTGTGTCTTTAACCCCTGCACCACAAGGGAGGCCAGCTCTTATGTTTTATAAAGAAGTCATTCCCTTCTCCCATAGCATTAAAGGTTATAAAATGTCCCCAAAGTAAAAATATCTCACTGTCCATTAACAAAAGAATTAACATATAAACTATAACATCTTTTTAGCTGAATCATGAAATTACAGATACTCAACTATTTTTATTTTTCAAAAAGACAGCAATTTGCTATGGCTCAGTCTAAGACAATGGACTACTGAACAGGAGTAAAAAATGAATAAATGAACTATAGTTTGATACAATAGTATAGATCTCCCCAAAAAAGCTAAAGGAAAGAAGCTTTTATTTACCATGGAATACATTCTGTATGATTACATGTACATGAAGTTCAAACACTAGGCACAACTAAGCTATATCATTTTGAGATGTACACATCTGCTAAAACTACAAAGAAAAACAAGGAAGTAATAATCATAAAAGGCAGGAAAGCAGCTATCTCTACAACAGAGGAAGGGGCTGGAACTGGGGAGATGGCAGGAGAGGGTTTCCAGAGAGTTCTATTTCTTGACCCAGATGGTGATAACATGGCCGTAGGCTCTACTATTATTCTCCTTTTGTATACCTACATGTTTGTTTTTAATTTGTGGTAAATTTCACATAACACAAAATTTATATGTTTACACTGATATGGAACCATCAACAACCATTCGTTTCCAAACTCTTTTCATTTTCCCAAACTGAAACTATGTCCCCATTAAAAATCCACTCCCTGTCTCCCTCCCCTCAGTCCTGACAACCAGTATTCTTTCTATCTTTACAAATTAGACTACTTTAGATACCTCATAATTTGGATTATACGGTATTTGTTCTTTCGTGTCTTGCTTATTTTCTTAGCATAATGTCTTCTCAAGTTTGCCTATATTGTATGTGTCAGAATGCCCTTCCTTTTTAAGGCTGAATAATATTCCACCGTATGAACGGAAGATTTTGTTTATCCATTCATCTGTCAATAGGCACTTGGGTTGCTTCCCTTTTTGACCATTGTGAATAATACTGCTATGAACTTATTATAAGTACAATAATTTCATGTATATCTCCTTGAGATCCTGCTTTAAACTCTTTTGTATATATATCAGAAGCAAGATTGCGAGATCATCTGGTAATTCCACATTTAATTTTGTAAGAATCTACCACACCATTTTCCACAAGTGGCTGCACCATTTAACACTGCCACCAGCAGGACACAAGGGTTCCAATTTCTCCACATCCTCACCAACTCTGGTTTTGTTTTATAGTACCCATATTATTGGGTATGATGTAATGGCTTTTTTAAAATGTTACATGTGGGGCACCAGGTCTCCCCCACCACCTCACCCCTCCAGATTCCCAAGCCCACTCACTGGTGCTCTCAGCTTCAGGTTTAAGGCTGCTCCGGCCACTCAGGCTTCCACTCCGACTGTAAAGGCCCCGGGCTGGACGGCTCAGGAAGGGGGTACGGCAGTCAGGGGTCCCTGGTCCCCCCACCAAGGGTGACGGATTCCAGGGGATGGTCTCTGGAAGATCTCTGCAGCCTACCATGCGCACCTCCAGGGTACCTGAGGGAGGGGCAGGCTAAAGGGGGCCACATCTGTGGCAAGTTGAGAGGAGGCTATGTCCAGAAGTGGTCAGCATGCAAATTTGAGTTGGTAAGGGACAAGCAGAGTATGGCAGATGCAGGTCTTGGCCCAGATGTGAGGGATATGGGACAAGGGATGGGGGTAGAAGGCAGCCCAGATGGGGAGATGCTCTGGATGCTGAGGTTTAGGGACAGAAGAGAGGTTCAGGACCAAAGTATAGGCAAAGCGGGGAGCAGGATTCAGTGGGCTGATCTAAATTCTAGTATGGGGGCTGGTCTGGTGAAGTATGAATGAGGGGTTCAAGGAGGATGAGGCAGTCTGAAGGGGGTGGGTGGGTCCAAAGGCTTAGAGCTAAGGGTTTGCAGAGGGAGGGGCTGGAGGGAAAAGCCAGGGTCAAATGGCAGAGTAGAGAGAGTGAGGATGGTAGGGACACCAGCAAGAGCCCAGAATCAGAGGGCAAAAGCAGAGCTGGACATCCAGGGTGAAGGGTCTGTAGAAATGAAGTACAGGACTGGAGGGCTGTAGTGAATGGAGAAGGGAAAACAGTGGGATGGGTTCCAGGGCTGGGGAGAGTGAAGATCTAGGGGTGCAGGGTTGGGGGATTAGGAAGAGTCAGGAGTCTAGAGCTACAGGGTTTGGGTTGAGTGGAGGAGGTCAGGACCCACCTGTAAGTGGAGCGGGCTTGCACAGAGTGCTGTAGTGCGTGGCAGGGAAGGGTCCTGCCAGGCGGGCGCTGAAGGCTGGGGAGGAGGTTGCAGCTAGCTCCTCACGTAGCAGCCGCCCCTTGGGATGGTCAGCTGGCAGCTCCCCTAGTCGCCGTTCCAGTGCCTCACGAAGGAGCCCCAGCTTCTGGTTTGACTCGGTCAGCTTCTCCTGGGCCTGTGTTAAGTGGGACCAGTCATGGGGGACTGACTGGGCACGCCCCTTCCCTAAACTAGGTCCCACAGGGGCTCCTTAGCCCTGACAGTCAAAGCCCTCCACCTATATGGGTGCTATCCTTGGGCTGCCAGAAAACTAGGCTCTGCCCCTTGCTGATGCCCCATACTTTGCAGAAGTCCCATATCACTAAGGCACCTCCCCTTCGCCGAGGAACCACCCCCATCAAGGACTGTTCTTTACGGAAGTCCCAGCCTCCACCCCTCACATGGTGAGTGGGCCCACCCTGACCAAGGCTCCGCCCCTTACTGAAGCCCACCCACTTCCTCACCTCGCTGACCGCCTTGCGGTCTGGGGCCTTGGCAGCACTGAGCAAACGCAGCACATTCTTGGCGCCCTCTGCTACCGCATGTTCCACTCGGAAGTGGTGTCGCAGCTCCTCAATACGTAGCTCCACGGCTCCCAGGTCTGGGCTCCCTATGGGCATGGGACACTGGGCAGTGAGGCCAGCTCAGGACCCTGGTCCAACCAGCCCAGTCCCAGACACACAGTCATCCACAGGAATGGGCCACAGACATCCTGCCACCCGCATGCACCATGTTTCTCCCAAAGGGATGGAGGGTCTCCGTGATACAGTCACACCATCACCCATAGGCATGGTCTTACTTCGGTCATATTTCCACCCAGTCGTAGTCACTATTTTATCCAAACACTGTCACCAAAGCGAGGGTGTCAGAGATACAACTAGCCTGTCACCACACAGGGACAGTTCCATATACAGGCACTCTCTCAATACAGGCTTAGAGGCAGACATGTGTCCCAAGTCCCACTTCATCCCCAAGGGCTGTTACAGAGCCACCAGGGCAACCAGACAGTCACAAGGATGTAGCCACAGAGACACAGGGTTGCTTTCTTAAAAAATAGCAATTTTTTATTCATTGCTGATGGAACAAAGGTTGCTTCCAGTGGAGGGAATTTGGCTAGATCTATCAAAATCACAAATGTATTTACCCTTTGATTCAGCAATTCCAGTTCAATTCCCATAGAAACACTTCTGCGCTTCACATGGGTACACAGTTATTCATTGCAGCCTTCTTTTAAAAGCAAAAGAAGATTGGAAACAACCCAGTTTCCTCAGTTAGGGGGTCTGGATAATGAATGATAACCACCCACATGATGAAAGGGAGTGTAGTTGTGGGAACAGGGACACTGTCACACAGATACTGTGTGTCACTCACAGGGTGACAGTGCATTATCATTCTGTCACCAATGCTGGCACACTGTCACCCACAAGCAGAGGAACACACTGCCACACAGGGACATTGTCAGGGGGCATAGGGATGTGGTCATAAGACACAACAACCCTTATGGACACATCACACTGTGGTCCAGGGAAAATCACAGGCATTTCACTGCACTGCCCCACGGATAAGGCATGAGGTCAGGCAAAGAAGTGCCATCACACAGTCACACAGGCAGGACAGCACCACCAATACCCAGAGGTTTGGAGAGTAATGCTGTAGGACAACAGCCTGACTGTCATGCCCAGTGTGAATGATCAGGGACAGAGACACAGCCAGACACCGGATGTGGCCACAGTCTCCCAATGACACAGTCACAGGCACAAAGACATCCTGTCACCGTGAAGCACACTTACATGTAGGTTCGAGAGACAGTCTCACCATCTCTGTACAATGACCCAAGCTCAAACCGTAACACTAAGTCATACCGTCACCTGCAACAGTGGGTACTAATACTGACAGGAACACAGAATCACAGGAACCCTGACATTCATAGCTCCTTACCTTACAAACACAGTCACACTATCACTCTCAAGCCTGCTGTCACATGTAGTCAAGAATTTTATATTCCCAGGGCAAAGTCACACTATCACCCAGAGAACATGATCACACCACCACACGTGGTCACTGAAACACCCACAGTCACTAGCACCTCCCCCACAAAAACACACACTTTGTCATGTGAGTTACAAGACCCACTGATAGGTCTGAATGTTTGTGTCTGCCCAAAATTCACATGCTGAAACCCAACACCCAATGGAAGAGGTACTGTTGGGGTGATTAGGTTAGTAGAGTGGAGCCCTTATGAATACAATCAGAGTTCTTATAAAAGGACTGCCGAAAGCTACTCGCCCCTTCTGCCATATGAGGACACAGGGAGAAGACTCTGTGTAGGAATCAGGAGGCGGATCCTCATCAAATGTGAGATTGGCCAGGGCCTTGATGTACCTCCAGCCTCCAGAACTGTGAGCAATAAATGTCTGTTGTTTATAAGCTCCCTGGTCTACGTTCTGTTAAAGTAATCCGAATGGACTGACAACCACCAACAGCTGACACTCCTATAACTCTCATAATGACACACAGGCTAACACTGCTACCAGGGCCTACACACAACCCCTAACCCCACAGTCAAAGACACATTAACACTGACATACATCAGCAGCATAGTCACTCTCACACACAGTCATTCACTGTGTAACAACAGGGTCTCGGCAATGCGACATTAGGTGAGTTCACTGTTACGCAAAATTCACAAAGTATACTTACATAAACCCAGGTGCTACAGCCTACTACATATAGCTATACACCTATGTTACACACACAGACCACTGTTGGCTAAAAGGTTGATATGTAGTATATAGTTGTACATCAAGACCCTGTCACAAATTTAGGTTGATGTCGGGTTGAGATACCACCAGGCATGCACATACAAACACACATACAGAAACATACACAAGCCGTAGACACTGCTACACAATGGGAACCAACATGACAAGACAATCACCTAGTCCAGGGTCTGCAAATTTTTTCCCATAAAAAGCCAAAAGTAAATATTTTCAGCTTTGCACAAAATGCACAGGCTGTTGCCACTACCTGGCTTTACTGCTGCAGCTCAAAAGCAGCTTTAGCTGGCAGTAGATGAATGGGTGTGGCTATGTGCCAATAAAAAAAGCTGCTGCCGGGATTTGGCCCATGGGCTGTAGTTTGTCAATACCTGATCACATACAAACCCCAAGGGGGAAACCAAGGTTCAGAGATCAGCAGAAGTGAGTTCTAGTCTCACAGGGAATCACAGCACCTATCTCCCTGCTCCCAGAAAGGGCCCCTCATAGGGCTAGAAACCACACTCTGCCCAGCAGAACACAGCCTAGGCTGTCTCAGGGTGACGGGCTCACCTTGGGCTTCATCTGGGGCCGCCTGGCTCTCCAGCTGGCCTGCCTGTAATGCCCGGCGGAGCTGCATGCGGATGATGTCGATCTTGGTCTTACTGTCCTGCAGCATCTGCTGAGCCGTCAGCAGCAGCTTCCGGTCCTGGAGGTAGATACAGCCCAGAGGGGAAGGCTGGGCAGCTGGGGTCTGACCACCAGTGCTCATGTCCACACCAAGCAGGCATTGGGCAACCATATGACAGAGCATTTGTGTATGGTATGACAATGCACATGCATTACGGGTGTGAAATGATGAGGTAGCTCATGGAGCTTGAATCCTGGTGCTGTGTGATAAGCTGTGTCACATAATCAACTCCTCCTCTTTGGGCCTGTTTCTTCATCTGTAGAATGGGAGCACTAATAGCACCAACACTCACTGGGCAAAGGATTGAGGGAGCTCATCTGTATGTGAGGCTGAGAGTTATGCCTGGCAGCAGCAGGCACTCCCTGTGTCAACTGTCAGAGCAGCATGCACATGGGAGTATAGTCCCCATGGTGGTTGAAGCCCTGTAGCTGGGTGGATAGTCTCCAAGGGTGACTGGGTATGTGTGTGAGCAGGGGTGGTAAGCAGGGGTACAGATATTTGTGGGTGCCAAGTTATGGTGATGAGCAGGCAGAGCCCAGGACCCTGTGTATGCAAATGCTAGAAACTTGTTGTGGGTTTTTTCCATCACTTTGTGCTATGTTCACAGATAAGACAGATAAGACACTGAAAGATATTTGTGTTTATTCTATTCATGTTTGCCCCATGGGGCAGAAATCAGTTCTTAGGGAGTGAAAAACTTTTACTCTTTTTGTGAATAAAGTACAGGTATGTATCCACAGATAAACATGTGATCTGTTTCAAAATTTCATAGGGTAGTATTTAAATACTTGTACACAGATGTACATAGCAGCGCAACTGCCAAAAGGTGGAAACAACCCAAATGTCCATCAATAGATGGATGTATACAGAAAATATGCTATAACCATACCACAGAATATTATCCAGTCATAAAATGAAATCCAATACTGATACATATTATAATACAACAGGGATGAACCCTGAAGACATTCTGTTATATGAAAGAAGCCTGGCAGGAAAGGGGATGTATTGTATTTATATGAAATGTCCAGAAAAGTTAAATTTATATACAGAGAAATCAGATTAGTGGTTGCCAAGGGCTGAGGGAGGGTTATGAGGAGAGATGGCTAATGGATTCCTTTGGGGTGATAAAAAGTTCTGGAAGTAGACAGAGGTGCTGGTCACACAATACAGTGAATATACTTAATGCCACTGAATTGTTCATGTTAAAATGGTATACTTTATTGGTATTTTATCACATACACAAAAAAAAATCAGGGGATAAGATGATTATGAAAAAAAAAAAATGTCTGAAAAGCTTCCTTAGGGAAGTGATAATTAAAAAAGGGTAGAGAAACAATTGATCAGATTCAAGGGGGGATTTTTTTTCTTAAACAAGGCCTCTTAGCAGCGGCTATTCTATGGCTGGCACATACATACACTCTGCCTCTGAGAGGATGAAATCTATGAACAGTGGTTTCAGGGCTTATGGCTATTCCCTGTCATGGAGTTGAATCTTCCAACCCCAGAAATCTCAGCCCCTGACTCAGGGTCAGTCAGCAGCCACAGAAGCTGAGAACCATGGTACTGCAGGGGATCCTTAGCCCAAGGTGGGCATTTCAGAGGGGAAAGAGGGTGAGGCGTGACTCTATCTGGATAAAGTTCAAAAGCACCAAATATGATCTTTGGTGAAAGAGCCTGGGTATTGACTGGAGGAGGCAGGAGGCAACTTTATGAATGAAATGTTCTGTACTTTGATATAGGTGGTATTTAAGCAGATAAAAATTCATCAGGTTATACATGTACGTTTCTGCACTTTGTGTCTATACATAACACCTCAATAAAAGGTTTAAAAAATATTTACAATATTTCCATTTGTGTGCATACACAGGGCATGGGTATACTCCTGGCAGTGTGTGCACAGGTCTCAGGCTGTAGGTATCGCTGTGCCTGTCTGCAAGCATCCTTGGGTGTTGATGGAGCCCTGTGACTATGTTCCTGGTGTTGATATGATTTGGGGGTGTATGTGTGGCAACACCAATCTCTGGGTGTGATGTGTGTGTTCCAGTATTATGATGTTGGCCTGTGATGTGTGTCCTAGGTGTTATACGATGGTATATGTGTCTCTGGATCTAGAGGTTTCCATGTACCTCTTAAGTACTGTTACTGCTATTTATGTAAGTTATAATGGGATCTTTGTGTTTCTAGATGATGTTATGATCATGGGTGTGTGTCTAGCTGTTAGGATGGTGCATGTGTGCTGTCTCACTGTGTGTACGTATGTCAGAGAGAGAACCCAGCAGTGAGAGGCTGCATGCTGCCATGACCACGGATACCCTTGCATCTCTGGGATAAGTAAGTGAGGGGACAATCTCTGCCATGGTATCATGGTCCGATACCACCCATGATCACCCTATCTTCCATAGCCCTCATGAGCTACCTGCATCCCAGTCCTGCTTCCAAGTCACCCATCAGCCCCTGGACCCCAGCCAAAAGGGTCCAGGCTGCCCACAGGGACAGATGTAGCAATGCCCTTGCCCCGCCAGGCTGTGCTCACAGGTGTGTGTACACGTGGGAGTGTGCTCACGCGCTGCCCCACCTTGGTGCTTCCATTGCTGTACGTCTGGATCATGTTTTCTGCCCCCTGCTTCACTTTCAGCTCAATGGCCAGTTGCTTCTCCAGGCCAGCCACACGGCTCAGGTTGGTGGCCGAGCAGGCTGGGCCACCTGCACCAGGGGACTGAGGAGCATCTGGAGAGGGCAGGTGGCACAGAGTCAGCATGGACCTCACCTACATCTGCCCAGGAGCCTTTGCTCCATTTGAAAGAATCCACCCTCTGCCCTGCCTGGACTCTGACCCAAGGCCCAGGAAGGAAGAGCTCAGGAACCAGAGGTAAATCACCTCCCTCCCAGGGAGACTTCCTTAGGGCTAGGGCAGGTCTAGCACAAGTGAACACAGGCAAATGGTCAGTGGTGGTGAGCCCCTGGTGTTGTGTGACTGTATAGGGAAGTCCTGTGATTTACATAGCTGAGTGGGTGTCCACGGGTGTCATTAGATAGCACTGGCGTAACTGAGCCAGTGTATCTCCTTTGGGGCTAGTATAACTATGTAAAATGCTTTATGAGATTCTGGATGCTAGTGTGACTCTATGCCATTTCTGACTGTTGTCACAACTGTGTGTTTGGATTTCTAGGTGCTGGTATATCAGTGTTTGGGTATTTGGGTGTTGATATAGCTACACATGAGTGTCTCTGGATGCTGGCAGAGCTCTGTGAATCTCTGGGGAGTGGTGTGACTATAGGGGGACTCACGGTATAATATGATCATATGAAATTCTCTGTGTTGGCTGAATTCTCTTTTCCATCACTGAGTATTGCTGTGACTATGTTAGTACCCATCTATTGGCATAGCCATGTATATAGAAGTGTTGGCTATTGGTGTACGTGTTGAATCTTCAGGCCTTGTCTTACTGTGCATTTAAGTCTGTGACAGGACTGTGAGCATCTGTAAAGGTTGAACAGTTGTATGTGTGACTCCCCGAAGATTAGTGTGATTATATGTGAATTTCTAGGTGTTATTTGTGTGCTGGTATGACAGCATTTCCTTGGGTGTTGTGTGGCAATATGGAAGTCTCTGGGTCTTCTGGGACTCTGTGTGGGTCTCTAGCTGTTTATGTAATAGTGCCTACATTGTTGAGTGTTGGCTAGGTATAAGTGTGATTATGTGCGATGGTTTCTAGCCACTATGTATGATATGTGTAAGGGTATTTGGATGCCAGATGAAAAGCCCTGCAGATCCCTGTACAATAATGTGGATATTCTTAATACAACTGAACCACACACTTAAAAAATGGTATATTTTATATCTTTTTTTACAATTAAAAATGTTTAAATAAAATGTAAAGAAATTTTGAATGGGGCCTCCCTTGTGGTGCAGGGGTTAAAGTCTCAGCACCATCAAGCTATCACCAGCCACTGTTGCATGAGTTCGATGGCAGGCAAGGGAGGTGACCCACATGGTGCAGCAGACCTCTCCTGTCTCGCCCACTGCTCCCCTCAGCAGTGTATTTCAGTAGATCTCCCTAATCTGCTTCCCATCCTGTCTCTGGTGAATCCTCTCACCTCCCACATCTCTGGCCTACACCCCAGTTCCTGTATGCATAAAAATAAATCTTTAAAAAAAGATTAAAGAGGGGCCTCCCTGGTGGCACAAGGAGTTAAGACACAGCACTATGAAGCTATCCATAGCTACTGCAGCACGAGTTCAATCCCCAGCTAGGGAGGTGACCCACATGGCGCAGCAGACCTCTCTTGTCTCACCTGCTGCTTCCCTCAGCAGTGTATTTCTGTCTATCCACATGCTCTGCTCCCCACTCTCTCTGGTGAATCCTCTCACCCCTCCCCACACCCCTGGCCTGCATCCCAGGTCTTGTATGCATAAATAAATAAATCTTTTTTAAAAATTAGTGAATTTTTTTTAAGGTTTATTTATTTATACAAGTACTGGTTCCAGTCAGAAGCACGGGAGGGTGAGAGAATTCACCAAAGCCAGAGCAGGGAGCAGAACAGGCAGACCGACAAAGTACACTGCTGAGGGGAGCAGTGGGTGGCAGGAGAGGTCTGCGCCCCATATGGGACCCTTGCCGAGCAGCCGGGGATCGAACTGGCGTTGCAGAGGCTGTGGGCAGCCTCGCAAGCCAGCACTCAACCACTGCGCCACCGGGGAGGCCCAATTAGTGAATTTTTTTTTTTTTAAAGATTTACTTACTTTTTTATTTATTTACACATACATACATACATACATACATACAAGCAAGCACTGAGCACAGTCAGAAGTCCGGGAGGGTGAGAGAATTCACCAGAGCCAGAGCAGGGAATGGAATAGGCAGACTGACGAAACACACTGCTGAGGGGAGCAGCGGGTGGCAGGAGAGGTCTGCACACCATGCGGGACCCTCGCCCGGTGGCCGGGGATCGAACCGGGCTTGCAGAGGCTGCGGGCAGCTTCGCAAGCTAGCACTCAACCACTGCGCCACCAGGGAGGCCCTACAATTAGTGAAATTTTTAAGAGAGTTTTTGGGGGCCTCTCTGGTGGCACAAGGGGTTAAGCATCGCACTATGAAGCAATCCAGCCTCTGCAGCATGAGTTCCATCCAGGCTGGCCAGGGAGCTACCCACATGGCGAAGTAGACCTTTCCTGTCTCACCCGCTGCTCCCCTCAGCAGTGTATTTCAGTCAGTCTGCCTGTTCTGTTTCCCACTCTGTCTCTGGTGGGTCCACACATACCCCACACCTCTGGACTATACCCCACCTCTTGTATGCATAAATAAATCTTTTTAAAAAAAGAGAGAGGGGCCTTCCTGGTGGCACAGCGGTTGAGCGCTGGGCTGCGAAGCTGCCCACAGCCTCTGCAGCCCCGGTTTGATCCCTGGCCGCTGGCGAGGGTCCCACATGGCGTGCAGACCTCTCCTGCTGTGCCCACTGCTCCCCTCAGCAGTATATTTCGTCAGTCTGCCTGTTCTGCTCCCTGCTCTGTCTCTGGTGAATCCTCTCACCCTCCCGCTTCTGACTGTACCCAGTGCTTGTATAAAATAAATAATAAATCTTAAAAAAAAAGAAAGAGAGAGAGAGTTTTTGGGTATCATCTCGGGGTTGGTATGACTATCTACATTTCTAGGTATTTGTGTGACAGTGTGCATGGCTTTGAATGTTGTCTGGGTATTGGTGTGATTGTGTCTTTGAGTATGCATGCAATGCTGTGTGAGTTTCCAGATGTCATCCAGGTGTGACTGCGAGCCTTTAGATATTAGTGTGACTGTGTTTTTTCTTTTTTACATTTTAAAAGGACAGGTTTATCAGGAAAAAGAGAAAAAAAAGAGGTAGCTGTATAGTCACAGGTAGGCAGGATTACCGATGTGACTGTTAGATAATCATGTACCACTAAGTTCCTGGGTATGCTCTGGTGTTGATACAACTGTGTCTTTGGGTACTTATATGACATGTAAGTTCTCTGGTGTTGTGCAGGTGTTGATGTGAGTATACCTATCCAGGTAAAACTATGTAAGTCTTTGAGTACTTATGTAACATCATAGGTTTCTGGGTGTCATCCAGTATTGGTGTGGTTGTCTTTAGATGTTTGTGTGATACTGTGTAAGTCTCTAGGTGTGATAGTGTGTAAGTCTCTAGGTGTTGTTGCAACTGTATCTGTCTTAGGTACTCCTGTGACACTGTATAAGTCCTTTGGTATTGTTTTGGTGGTGTGCCTGTGTGAGCCTAGACAGTCACATAAAACTGTGTAAATCCTTTGATTTGTGCCTGGGTATTGGCATAACTGTATGCCTTTTTCTGGGTGTGTTGATTTTGTTGTTTCCTCTGCCTGTATTTTGAAACTCAAAGTTGTCATTATTGAGTGCTCCTTCCTGGGGTCAGTGGAGATGAGGTTAGCTTCACCTCAGAGGACTGTGGGTGAGCCTCAGGCAGCAGAACCCCTGAAGTCTCACACTGAGGGAAACCCTACTCACCGTGGGTGGCTGCAGGGTCAGGCAGCACTACGTGGGCGTGCAGCTCCTGCAGTTGCTGGTGCAGCAGGTCCAGACGGCGTGAGGAGCCACGCAGCAGCAACTCCACAGGGCCCAGGCTGCGGCCCAGGTCAGTGGTGGCCCGCCGCAGGTTCTCAGCACCCTCCTTTAGCTTTAGCTCCTTGCGGATCTCCCGCCGCAGACGCTCCCGTTCTAGTTCCAGCTGCTGCTGCACCCCAGGGGCTGCCAGGTCTGCACCCGCTAGGCCCAGCTGCTCCAACAGGGACCAGCCACGTGGTTCACTCTGCAGGGGAATGGAGTAGGGTCAGTGGGGCCAGGAGGGCTCTGGGGTGCACAGTGCACTGGGCCTCGCCTCATCCTGGGTTGGAACACCCATGACAGGGATGGCTTTGTGTCCTTTGACCCCAAAAGCTGGGAGATGAGACAGGGCCCTGTCCCTGTTACCTGACCCCCAAACTGGAAAGACAGGGCATTCTTCCCTCCCTGTCCCATTAGTCTAGGGGACCCAATAGCCACATCTCCCTTCACCTTCCTTATATAGCAGGATTCAGAGCATAGGCCCATCACCCCTGCACTGTACCTCCCAAGAGCCCTAAGGCTACAAGACTTTTGTTCCTTCTGCTGTCCCCCCAAACTAGAAGGTTCTAAGGACAGGTCTTATTTCCCTTCTGTTGATACCTGTGAAAAGTCCTAAGGGTATATTCCTTTTCCCCTCTGCTGCCCCCCTAAACTAGGAGGTCCAGAATGTAGGCCCCAAACAAGGAAGTATCAAGGGCAGGCCCTTTCTCCTCTTTGCTGTACCCTCAAACTAGGAGATCCTGAGGGTAAGCCCAGTCTTTCTCCTGTTATACCTCCAAATTAGGACAGGCTTCATCTCCCATCCTCTCATCCTCTACCACTAGGACCCCAAAGAGAAGAGACCTATCTTCCTCTTCTATCTGGGAGTGCCAAAAGGCCCCAACTCGTCTCATCTTCCAAAGAGAAAACTCCGAGGCCATGACCACAGCCCTATCTCCTCCCTGTAGTTCAAAACTGAGACGTCCAGAAGGCAGGGCCTCTGGCCTATGCTACTTGGGTCCTCTCCCACCCATTCCCTGAAGGGACCCCAGACTCTACCTCCAGCTCCTGGTCCAAAGGGGGATCAGACTCCGCCATCCTGGGTCCTGGCTGGGGACCCCGCCCTCTTCCTGAACCTCTGCCCCGCCAGGGCCTCTCGCTCCTCTTGCTTACCACTTCCTCTTTGCTGCTACTCCCAGCATCCCCTGCGCTGGGCCAGCCACAGGGCTGTAGGGCATCTAAGGAACCTTACTCTCAGCACCCCCACAAGGCTGAGCCTGTTTCAGTAGAGATAACCCAGGGATAGCTCTTGATTCCCGTCCCACTCAAGGGGTACACAGTGTGCACAAATTCACTCACATGCCCACTAGTGTGGATGTGGGGAGCAGGCTCCCCCAAGTATATGCAGGCTCCAGGGGCTGGCTCAGGTATGCGCACACCTTCATATAATATAAGCATATATTGGCTGGTGATTGTGTGCACACCCCTAAGCCTATCCTGTCATACAACTATATGCAAACGCCATTAGCACTCATATAAACCACCCCCTTCCCACAGACACAGGCCATGACAATTTCCGACTTCCTCTCAGTCTGGTGGCCCCCTGCTGCTGACCACAGCTTGCAGGCCCAGGGGACCCAGTTGGACCAGTAGCACATCATGGGGACATAGCACTACATGTTGTGGTGGTGCGAGTGCCCCCAGATCAGCAACCCATCCAAGTTTAAGCTTGATTATTAATAATAATGGCAGTTCCTCCAAGCGTCACCCAGGCCAACTAATGTACATCAACAAGGAGGGTACTATTATGACCCCACTTCCAAAGTGAGAAAACTGAGACCTTTAGCAGTAACATAACTTGCCCCAAGGTCCTACAGTCCACAGGAAGCAGGGCTGGGATTTAAAACCAGAGCATCCAGAATTTAGCGCTTACTAGGCACTGAGTACCCTGCTTGTACTATCTCCCCGCACTGTGAAAACCCACTTCACAGATGAGGAAAGTCTTCACTGGCTCCTAATCAAGCTCTAGGGCAGCGGTCCCTATGCAGGGTTTACTGCAGACCCAGAGTATCATTTAGTACCATAACTCAATCACACCCTCACACTAATACTGAGTAGCTGACATTAACTGCCCCCCCCCCAAATCTACAAGTGAGGAGACTGAGGCTCAAAGAGGTAACACCAGCAATTCTCAATGGTGGGAGGGTGAATTTTGGCCTACCTCCAACTGGCCACATCCAGAGACATTTTTAGTTGTCACAACTGGGGGTGGTGAGGGAGAGCTACTGACATCTATGGGTGCAGAACAGGGATTCTTCTCAGTATCCTATAGTGCACAGGATAACGCCACCCAAAGAATGATCCTGCCCCAAGTGTTGACAGTGCCAAGGGTGGGAGGCCCTGGGTTAAAGGACATAGATTCACCCCCTATCAGCTGCTGACCATGACCACCGGCAAAAACTTCACAGCAGTCCCACCCGTACAATGATGTCCTGGTATCTCTCTCCCCCATGAGCACCCACTTAGCCCACTTTTTCCAGTAGTAGAACAAAGGCTCGGAGAGGCAAAGGCACTTGAACGCAGGACACACAGCAAGGAAATGACCTCAATGGAATTAAATCCCAGGCTCACCTAATACTACCCACACCCAACTAGATCTCATCCACCACCCATCCCACCCTGTCCCAAGCAGGCAGAGCAGGAGTACAGGCACAAGCAGAACCAGCTTAAATGGGGGAAGTCCAGACAGAGAGAAGGAGCAGGCTCTCTTGATCCCACCTCCAGGGATGGGATCATCCCTGGAGGCCTGAGAATATGCAGAGCAGGGAGGAAGAGGACCAGCCTCCAGGGTTCTCCTTCCTCAAGCTCACCTCCCTCAATAGGGGTGACTCACTCCTACAGTGGAACAGGGGTCACCCAAGGGCCAGCCTGGCAAACCCATGAACCAGGTGCTGCTGGCACCAGCCTTGGGGAATCCCTGCTCCCCCATCTTCCACCATGGAGCAGGAGATAACAGATTCAAAGGGTCCACCTCCCAGAATCCTCCTCTTCTCAGAGTTGCCTGGGATCTAGACCCCCCAAGTCCGGATATTTCAATGCCTTAGGCGTTTCCGGAATCTGGACAGGACATCCGTTTGCCGGACACAGAACAGACAGGCACACATGGGGACAGACAGAGGGAGAGGACGGCAAGCCCAAGCACAAGAAAGGGGTGGCCAGGAAAGGGGGGAAAAAGCAGACAAGAGGTGGAAAGGGGCCCAGGACATGAGTCTTGTTCCAGGAATCACAGCCTCTGTCTGGATCATACTTGGTACATGCCAAGCGCATGCATGCACCAGGGGATTCCTACACAGTCCTCCCAGGGCTGGGGGGTAGAGGCAGGGACCCAAGGTCTGACCTTGTGTGATCGGCAACACCAGATCCGCCCAGCTCCTCGGCAAGGCTGGCAGGCCATCAGCAGGACTGGGGTGGGGGACAGAGGATCATGGGGGAGACACAGAGGGAACCAGGGCAGGTGCAGAAGGAGAGGAGAACCCAGTTATACAGCAACCACAGGACAACAGAGGGACGGTGAGGCACTAATGACAGCACCAGAGGCACAGGACAGTTTCAGATTTGAGTCATTTGAACCAAAGGCCAGATTTCACCCTGGACCTGCTTGTCACAGATGGGAAAGGTGAGTGCAGGACTGTGATGTCCACAAGGTAGTACCAGGAGAACCTGGCTGGGTGACAGGTTGGTGCCTGCCAGTCACCTGTTTCTGTGGGGGTGGGGGAGTGACCTTATCCTATCACTCATGCCATGGTAGGGATTTCAGGTACCAGAAAACCTCCTGGCGTACTGACCTGGACACTCCCCACCTGGGTAAGGTTCCACCTGGCAGCCTATTTGGGTCCTCTGTCCCCGGACCTAATGAGGTGACTCGGGCACTTCCTCCAACAGGTGCCAATCCGGTGGCGTCGGGACCATCGTAAAGCTCCATCTGGAGGCAGGGGCCCTTAGAGCTTTGTTGTGAGGGGGAAGAGCACTGTCCGGGAGGCCTCCTCCTCTCCCTCGGCACAGTGCCAGGCACCTGCCCCCAGGTGGAACAGCACCTGCCGAGAACCGAACTCTGGGAGGGGGGCGAGTGGCGGGGGCGACAGGCACCCTGACACCAGGACACCCGAAGTCAAGCTTCTGCCTCTCCTCTGGTTCTAGCGAAGGGGCTGCGCCTGGGGAGGCAGCGGGGGACTCCAGCACCTCCCAGCTCCCCCACCCGGTACGTCCCTGAACCTGCCGAGAAAGGGCCCGTATTGGTTCCCTGGTGCGGGCCTAGAAAAAGGGGCGCCAGGCGCTCAGGAAGCTCTCTCCCTGGCCGCCCCGCTCCCCCGAACCCCGGAGCCGTCTGGCCGCCGGGCAGCTGCGGACGCAGGTGTGCCTACCTGCACGGCGTCGCTGGCCATGTCCACGCGCCACCCGCCAGGGGTCCCCGCGGAGGGAGGGGTGGCGGGAGGAGCGCGCGTGCGCCCAGCGCCGGGCGGGGAGGGGGCGGGCGCAGCGCGACCCCCTCAGGCGTGCGGCCGGCTCCGGCCTGCTCCGCTCCGGCCCCGCCTGGCCAGGCCGCCGCGTCCGCGCGCCGCGCCCTCCGGCCCCAGCGGCCGCCGGGCCTGGTCACGTGACCGCCGAGGTCGGCGCCCGGGGAGGGGGCGGGGCCGAGGGGGCGCGGCTCCCAGAGGCCCCGGGCCTGCGGGGACCCGCCTGGCGGCCCCCCTCCTCCGCCCGGAACACCGCGGCGGCTGCGGCGCCCGGGCCAGGTCCGGGCCTCGCGCTCCGGGCAGGGGTCCCCCATTTGAGCGCGCGGGAACCCGAGGAAAAGAATGAGCCACGTTCAAGCAGGGAGCGGCTGAGGCCTTTGGGCCTCCCGGGACGCTTCAAAACCCGAAAACAATTCATTGTCCTCTGCCTTTGCGCGCTCGTCCTCCCGGACCTATTCCGCCTTAGAGCCCCCATTTCCATTCAAGGGCAAGGGAGCTCCCCGTCGCCGGGAGACTAGCATTGCTTAGATCCTGGTTCAAAGCCCAGTGTCTCACGCCTTGGGGGAACCCCAAAACCCTAAGAGCTCCTCATGTTAAAACTAGAAGAATATAACCGCCGGTTACCCATTAGGTGTTGACAAAATTAAATGAGATAGTGCATACCTAGTACTGAGAGCACAATAGCGATCTTTAAATGTTAGTCGCTGTCATTTTTAATGTCTTTATGGAAAGGGATTTCGATCCTAAAACTCTGTCGCTAGCTCGCTGAGCACCCAGTGGATCGCGTGGCTGTTGAGCCTTAGTTTCTCCCTGTGTAAGATGGGAGCCAGCCTCTTCCTTGCAGGGGTGCTACATGCAGGTGGCGCTCCATAAATGCCGACGCGTGCCCAGGCGGAGCTGGAGGGTGGAGCCTCTCCAGGGTCTCCAGAGTCTCAGGAGCACGCAGTTTGGCTTGTGGCGTACCCCGCGTTCCCTTAGAAACCCGGTGACTGAACCAAAACAAGGTCCCTGGGGTGCCGGGCCGGGAGCGCCCCCTGGCGGCAGTGCCCGCACGTTGGCGTCCGCCCGGGACCCACCAGATTTTGGAGGGCTGCAGGTGCGTAGGTTACCCGCGGCTGTTTGCGGTTTGCATGGTCCGATTAGGGCGCCTTGGGGCGACTCTGGGGGTCAAGGGACGTTAACAGAAGGAAGAGGAAAATTACACCGATCCAGAATTTCCCTAGGCTCACCGGTCCCACGGCTCCAACCTGTCCAGGCTCCAGAGCCATTCACCTGGCTCCACCCTCAAACCTCGTAGTCTGTTTTTCCCATGACAGCCCAAGGGCGCCTGTGAACACTGAGTCAGGTCGTGTCCCTCTTCTGCCTAGATCCTTCTATGGCTCCACCTTCCCCAGAGTAAAAATACCTGTAGTGCACAGGCCCTGCAGTATCCGACCCCTTCACGTTCCCTCTCACCTCTCCTCCCAAACTCTTTGCTCACTCCCAGCTACACAAGTCTCCTTGAATATTGAGGAATTCAATTAAAGAAACTTTTAAGCTAGTCCTTTTGCCCTCCATTTACAGATGAGGCTCAGAAAGAAGCTCTTCACCCCCACCCCCATTTATGCAGCCAGAATGTTTACAGCCCCTGCCCCAAGGGACTTGGTGACTTCCTCTAATTCTGCAGTCCCACACTTACAGATGAAGAGAATGTGGAGAAGCAACGCTCCCAGCCAGGCTGGGGACTGGGCTGCCTTATCCAGAGCTGAGGCCACTGTTGCCTGGCAGGCTCCAGGATGCCTCCCCGGATGGAACTGGGGATCCTGGCCAAATTTTCACTCCAACCTTCTGGCATTCTTTTACGAAGTAAATATTTATTGATGACCACTGGGGACTTTGGTGGCACTGGCAGCAGAGTTGCACTTGGACCTGTGCAGTGAGGAGACCAGGACTAATTGTACAACCTCAACAAAGTATGGCTGCACAGGCACCTCTCTGTAGCTGCTCTGGTCCCTCTATGATTCCCTTTAAGGCCTTGGAAATCTTAAATTGCTTACCACTTTTGCCTCCTGAAAACCCTGTCCTGAGTTTTCTGGATCTCAACCCTCCCCTGTCAGGTTAACCTGTCAAACTTCTGCCCACCTATCCAGCCATATCCCCCTCCACGCCCCTTACTCCCATCCAGTGACACTGGCTTTCCCTTTTCCTCATATATACTAACTTTACTCCAACCACAGGGCCTTTGCACTGGAATGCCTTTTCATCACATCTCTCCAAAACTGGTCTCTTTTCATCATTTAGGTCTTGTTTTAAATATCATCTTCTCTGAGAGACCTTCCCAGAGCACCTCCATGCTCTATTATTTATTTTCAATGTCACTTATTTCTGAAATTGCCCCATGTCTGGCCTATGTTCATTCATTCTTTGTGAAATGAATGTGTGGGCACAGTGTAAAGTATCAGGCCTGTGGCAGTCACCTCCCTGTGGAGGAGACAGAAGGGCTGGTACTGAAGCTAGGTTGCAAAGGACAAACTAGGAAATTACAATGTGGACAAAGAGGAAAAGGGCATCTGGGGGAAGGGACAGCAGAGGCAAAGACCTGGAGGTAGCAGGGAGAGAATCTGCTTTGTTCTGATTCCTCTGCCCTCATCTCCCCTGGTCAACCTCCTGCCATTTTGGTCACATGGCTTCCTCGCTGTTCCACAAAGATGCTGGGCCTTTGCACTGGCTATTATTACCCTGCTTGCAATGTTTCTCCTTATCTTGGTGTTATTTTTCCTCTCTGTTTCCAGCTTTGTTCAAACATCACCTTAGAGAAGTCTTCCCTGACTGCGTTCCCACCTAAAATGAGCCCCACGTGGCCCCGTTACATAGCTTGATTTTTCTTCCTTGCAAATTTAAATAAATTTTATTTTACTATTATCTTTCTTGCCTGTATGGAACAGGAGCATGTCAACTCCCTGAGGGCAGGAATTGTTTCCTGTCTTGTTCACTGCTAGGTATCTGGCTCCTAAAACAGAATTTAGCACATAGAAGCTGCTGATGAACCTAGATTCCGGCGGAGAGCCATCCACTCCTTCCCAGAATTCAGACTTTACCCTGAGGACTGTGAGAACCACTGAGGAGGAGAGGAGGAGGAAAGGAATATGGAGTCTCTCAAAAGATAAAGGCTCTTT